TTGATGTAGTGTGGACTACCAGACATGAATAAATCGGATCTTTCATTTAGCATAGTTCAAAGTATCCGAAGCACGCAAATAATAAATTTATTTAATGATGGACTTTACAACCGATTTGCTTCACGAGTATCTAACACGCAACATGCACCACAACATATTAAGTTTTGTAATGTATTATTTTTGAAAGCGATATCTTGTGCGTGTTTTATTTTCGCATTACTATACGAAATGTAATCCAATATGGAAATGAATATTGAGACTGGTTATAAAATACCTAATTACGGATAAATAAACATAAAAAAACGATTAAAATGCAATATGAATATATCACATTTTAATATTTCATTAAAAAAACTTTAATTAATATTCTATTCATACAATAATTTTAAGTGCCTCATATTGAATAAAGTATGCAAAAATTGACGTTGCTTGGCATTTTGGCCTTATCTAAATCAATTATAATTTTATTTCGTAATCTTATACTTTGCTATATAGATAACCGTTGACGACAATAGATAAAATAATTTATACAGAATTATGACAATCGAGTCTGTTGGGTGGTCATCAAATTTTATGTAGCTAAATAAATTCCCATGAACGAAGACTATTACAGAAAATTTGACGTCAATGAGACTTCGATTTTGAAATTTATTAAAGACATGCGAACAAGGATGCGCTTGATATCTGTATCGAATTTAAAGTGTCTCTAACTAAATTCAAAACGGATACAATTTTTTATGCAACGACAATAAAATGAAACAATGAACGTCACTTTTGTTCGTTCCTTTAACGTAAGCTAAGTGAGTAATAAACTAAAGTGTCACGTAATTAGGTTGTAATCTTGAAAAAGTACATATATTCATAAAAACATGCTCCAGTATTCTTAGGCAGTTTAATGGTAAAAGCGTGAAGAAATTGCATTGAAAAAATTGCAGCAATTCAAACCCATTTATATTCACAAGCAAAGCGTACTAGAATATAAATACAGTAACGTTTGAATTAAATATAACCAGCACCGTGTTTATAACAACAGGTATAAAACAAAGTAACAATCACTCCTACTTCCGCCTTCCCTCCTTACACCATTTGTTTGCATGCTCAGCTAGTTGATAAAAAAACAAACATTTTTTTCACAGCAACTGTACAACGTTGGCTCTTTTCTAAAAACATTTTTTGTAGAAATAAAAGGCACTCGAATTGAGTTGCTACTGGCACAAGGTTTAAACTGCATTTATATTCTTTTTATACAAACTTTGCTGTACAACAAAGTTGTCACATAATTGCATTTTACATTTTTTTACATGAATTCATCGCAAGTTAAACACAATTTAAACTAGTTACTACATTTAAATTGAGAAGAAAAGGAATGTTAAATACAAGTAACATTTCGCTCAGCAAACAGTTTCGTAATGGGCGAAGTTTAATCGCAACTAACTTCCTACACTTATTTCGACTAGTGTCGACAACTTTGTACAATTTAAGGAACAGCATGGGCGGTAATAAAAGCAGAAGGCAGCGGTTTAAACTTTTCCCAGGTAAGTATTTATGTGACGACGTGCTAACATTGAACCCCGGGGAGCTGCGAGGGGTGTGGGGTGTGTCGCGGGGTGTCTGAAGACGAGATACTTGGACTCTGCTCCCGCTCGTGCTTTCATCTTATAAAACTTATATTGATTTTGTTTAAGCACATGTTGGCGCTCAATCAAGTATCCATATGTTGGCTTATGTCACATATTGATATTAAAATGTTGATGTTATAAGTCTGTAAATATATCGTCTTTATTCTACTTATCAGTGCACTAATTGCATTTATATTGTAAGCCTTATCCTTTAATCCAACATGATTATTATTTTTTACAATGATATCAACATTTTTTAAGTTAAAAAGTAAATAATACACTAATGCTCGTGACCCAGAACGATATTCAGATAAGAAATGTGCAATGAATTACAAAGACTCTTTGACCTTACATTTTCCAAATAAAGCTTTCAGTCATGAGGTAATTTCAATTTCGTTAAGGTCTTCAGAGTGAAGTAAAATTCGAGTACTATCCTGCAATTCACTTATATTTGGCTACACAAGAAAAAATACCGAGAACTATGCAAGTTTACATAATTTGTTGAAACACTTAACACATTTGAATGTGTACATCTTACCATCTAGTTCATCAAATTTGGTAATTATAAAACACAAGCTTTCGCCCGCGACTCCGTCCACGTGGAGTTAAAATAAACAAAAGTGAGTAGCCTATATGTTCTTCCAGACTATCCTCTACATCTAAACCTAATTTCATCGAAATCCGTTAAGCCCTTTAGGCTACAAACTCTAACAAACATCCATACATCCATCCATCTAAACTTTCTCATTTATAATATTAGTATAAAGTATATTTTGCTAAAATCAATATTGAACTTAAAGTGCACTGTAAATATTTAAATGTTACATCTCCTGCCAAATCAAATTACTAATCAAATTATTAGAAAATGTTCTCAAGCATTTATTGTCAGAGTTCTATAATATAAAAAGTAGGTTAGGTTAGCAACAGAGCGGATTAAAAGTATCATGACACTGGTTAATTCGATAAGGTCCTTGATTGAAGCGGGGACAGGGTAAGCGCGGCGTGGGAAATAAATTCATTTACCTCATACCTACTCATTGTTTTTGTGACCGGTTGCCACCGACCGCTCCGATGACACGGTCACGCTGCCGTCAGTATTTAATTCGACGCCTTTTATTGAAATAATTTTAAGTACGAGCACGTACGTAAATTCTCATTAAACGTTTTAAATAACTATAAAATTAAATTGGATGTTTATTTAAACCGATCAATTCGAAATAATAACGTAAAACACAACTAAACAAAACAGTACATTTTTGCAAATGCATAAAAGTTACTTTAAAATTGTAATACGTATTGAAAATTAAAAAAAAAAAGCTGAGTTAACTAATCCCTATTGTTGATGCCTTTAGGAAAAGACAAAGATTCATTCTCTTCTTAACTCCACTTATTATAACGCTTTTGAAACAAACACACAATAGGCCTTTAAAACATAATTACAGATGATATAAAAATGTGAGCAATTAAACGATAATATTTTAATTAAGTGTTGGCACATGATAGATTCTGGTTTAATTTTTAATAGAGGCTGACATCATGCAACAAAAGAGGTCAAAAAGGATTTGCAGTCAGTCAGTAATATAGGTCCCACGCAAGACTAGTATCAAATTATAAACGACGGCCTTGGACACCGATATTACGATATATTCTATGCGCAATAAATTCCTTTTCTCTATACATGTCGATAATATTGTAATATATTTACTAAGTCGTATGGCGAAAGCGATCTTCGATATTTATAGCTGACAGGTATCCATTAATGGGTATGATTAAACCGAATTGAAAGATGACAAGCTCTTTAAGGGTTTAACTTAACAGATTAAGGATTGGTTTACAGCGCGATTAGAATGAACGAAATTGCGGGTTACTAGTTTATCTTCGGATTATTCTTTCTTTCATCAACAGTACGGAATAACACATTTATCTTACAATAAGCTCGTTTTAATATGCATTTTTTTGGTATAAAGATTTAATATAAAAGCTGTGCATATAATTTACTAAAATATCATAAACACCAATAATGAAGACTTTTGCGTAAGTGGGCACGTAGAAATAAAATTTAAATAGTCTCGAAGTTATTTTCGTCTAATCTTTTGCTAGACACAATATATTTGTCTCGTCTCAATATGTTAAAGTAACGATTTTTCAATAAGAAAACGAAAAAGGCATTGATCGCCGGGTCAGAGAGGACAACCGAGTAGAAAGTTTATGCGACACGACTATGTTACTTTGGTATATTGTTTAACTATTAAATTACTTTACATATACTTTAAAAAAATGTATTAACATAAATAGCGATATGTACGTACAATTTATTATAATTTAATACTTATTACAGTAGTACCTACCTAATATTTTATAGATGGTCCTAAGTATTCATTGTTTGTTTGTCAACAAACATTATATTTACTGTATTTATTAAATGTATTCTTTATATAATTTACCATTGTATTATTTCCGATTTCCAAAGAAATCGAAGCCCGCTTGCGGTTGTTGACCATATGCTAGCTGTATTACTTTCGTAATTTTTACAAAAAACTTGTTTTACACAGAAAACTGCTTGCATTGTGTGCAAAAATTGCATAAACGTTGCACACGGCATGTGGTGAATTAAATAGGAGCAAAGGAACCTGTTCGGGCCTATAATATACGCGCGCACTCCAATGGGCCACAAACGGCAGACCCGTCGCCATAATTTAGAACGTTAGAGCAGAATTCTCGTTTTATTGTGCATGACTTCAGCACACAAGACAAATTGTCGTCTGTGTACGAACCTAAATGTACACAAACGAGCGAAAGCCCACTTAGACCAAATTTACACTTAGTGGGAGACCACAGCAGTGCACTACTCGTCGCCCCACACGTCAGCTGCTTACAATGGCTATACTATTTACAATGTTACGACGACAAATTTACTGAGAAAATGTCTTTATATCATTAAATTATCACATGAATTTATAACGACATATTTTACTTGGTAAATAAAAGTACTTAGAGTTCATTCAATAGGTCATTGCACTTCCGAGACGACGTCCGAAGCTATTACGGAGCGCCGTTTTTATAATGGAATTCACAAAAAGAAGACCATATAATTTTGCAAAATTAATCAATTGGTTACGATATCGTTATGATTTGAAAAAGTTAATTGGACGGAGATAAATATTTATAATTATTTTTTATTGTATTCGAGTAAATAGAATTGTAATCATAGAGGTATGACATGAGTTGTATTATGTAAATGTAAACAATAGCCGAGGAACTTCATTTCAGAGAATAATAAATAGTTTTTGCGATATCTAAAAGACTTAGTTCTCATATACAGGTACAAAGGAAATGTGTATAGATGCAAAATAGAGGATACATGCTATATCAATAAATTACCTCAAGATCTTCATAGGTGCGAAATGCCATTATGGCGAAACCATCAATGATATCTTCTTCCCCGAGCGGCTCCTTCGACTTCTTTCTCCTGGCTGGAGGACGAGGCGGCTTCTCTCTCGCCGGAGACTCGTCCTCGCCGCTGTCCCCATCCTTAACTTTGCTCTCTCGCTGTGCTTGCATGCGCTGCGCCCGCTCCCTTCGCCTATTTCTTTGATTGCGCTGCTTCACTTCGTTTTCCATCGTTCGCACATTATTCGAAACACCCGACCACCGTGCTTCACTACACTAAAGTCCGCACTACACTTTTATCACACATTGTATACCTTGTTTTTATGCCTTGTAATTCGACGAATTACAAATACTGCCCTCAGAAAAAGACACTAGTCGTTTCCAATGGCGGATCGTACACCGTTGCCGCATTGCAAGTAAAATGGCCGCGTAACACTCAATGGGCTGTATTATTTCACATTTACGTAAATGGGGACATAATTACACTTATACTAATATATACTACAATAAAATTTAACAAGAACTAAGACAATAAAACGATAAATTAGATTTATACATTATTCTCTGTGTTCGGAATCAGTCAATAGTCAATACAATGAAAGGTGTTGCACGACGCCAACGCTGCGTTGCGGTCGCGATGGTGAACTAAAACAGTGCTGCCAACATAACGCAAAGAACATTCCGCGATATCGGGCGTCATTGGCAATGTGGCGTATCGTTTATACTCTTTTAACACATACAGCGTTCTCTTTTTATGTCATAACATGAATACAATTTTGTTGACCTATTTTACATCTAATTGGTAAGACTTTTTAAAAATTTGTTTCTTACGAGATAAACAATATATTTACTTAATTTAAATGTGCCTACATATTAAATATAATTTAATGTTGACTTAAAATAAAATAAATCGTCCAGTGCAGCACGTAGTATGTTTATTATTTATGTTGGTACCACTGTAGTATAAAAAAGTTGAATGTTTGCATTCTACATGTTTCACGGAGTTTTAGAACATAACTATTGTACGGAAGGTCTGTATTTGTGTGTACATTTTGATTTTGAGAGATGTTCTGTGTTACCAGTTTGAAGAAATTAATGAGAATTGTGAAGTTTGCGCATGCGCGCGTTTGACATTTTGTGTAGTGATACGTTCACGTGCGTTCAAGTTAATATTTTATAAATGGACATTACAATTTTAAGTGAACTTAGAATTAAAAATTATTAAGATAAATAAAACTAATTTTTCACACATACAAATATAGTTTTTGAGTCATATACATTGTTTTAAATTGGTTAGAAATAAAATCAACCTTGTAAACTTACTGCGTATTGAAAAACCTTTTTTTTTGGTTTTCTTATAATCGATGGAATATTTTATGCTAATAATATCAATGCATTTTTAGGGATTAATATTTATTTTCTGTTTTCCTTCATATAACACAGTGTGTAATAATAACTTGTTACATATTACTTAACACTCAATCCTGTTACTCAGAGCGGGTTAGACAGAGATTACTGATTTTCATTATTTCAATCCTAGTGCAACATTTTAATTTTGTAGCCGCATGCAAAGAGTTTTTCAGTATTCATTTTATTTGGTAATCGAAGAGCACGGCTTTTCTTCCAGACCACATAATTTGTAAAGGGTTTAGAAGAGTTCCATCTCTATTTAGTTAGCAGTTTTTAGACACGTATGAGACTGTATAGATAGTTTTTACAAAACTTGTAATTCGGGTTTAACTATATTTAATTGGTCTCATCAATCCAACATAATGAGCGCATTATTATTTTCTTACTTATAAAGATATAAATAATGTTATAATACATTATATTAACATGATTGAACAGATTATGTAGATTACTCTAAGTCGAATGCTTGATGATGAATAATTTAATATTCAGAACATAAAATTAACATAATTATTACGCATGGAGTATTCGATACATAACATTAATATGGATTCCTAATTTCCTATCAGTTGTTCGTGTGATTTGAAGGAGTGTGGTTGTGTAATCTCATGATAATTTTTATACTAAAACATATACTTTGATAATAAAATAACTTATTTATCACTTCGTTGGTTCCAGAAAATTAATAGTCATTGCTGTTTAGTTAATAAGGTAATACAGTTATATTTATTTTTAAAATAGTCATAATGAAATTGTTTTATTCAAGCCGGTGTTTGTTTAATAGTAACACTTAATAATAGCGTATAAGTGTTGTTCTAAATTTAAATGTCACGGACGTTAATAAGTTTACAGATAATGTATTTTTTTATAGAACCGAAACTGAGTTCGTGTTATTTTTTTTAACATTTCAAAATCACTCGTAACTTATTTATCTAACGCTAGATGAATTAGTCTAATCATTCTAATCTGTTTTACATTCTGTGTTTTGTTCTTCATAAGTTCGGCTACTCAAATGTAATATTGTTTTCACATCTTTAACGGTAATTAAATTTTCTATAACCTATGTTAATGGAAACGCCTGACGGAAGCACATTTTTGTTTTCTTTTGGAGTTTTATGTTGAACAACCATAATAACCTCTATACACGCTTTGCGAAGGGGAGGTAAACGGTGTTCGTTTTATAACGTGACCTTACATTCCATTGTTTATTCTATAAATCGCCGACATGCACGTCCCCCTGTTCCACGGTTATTGAATTGATTTTTAAAGTCATAAAAGAAAGCGGCAATGTTTCTCTTGTAGTTAATTACTTCCCTTGAAATTAAACCTATTATTTTAGAGCGTTAAATCGCCTTTTATGCTCAATGAGTTTGCGTTTAAATCTTGGCGTCGTGTCGTTTCTAATTATTTCGACGAACTACAATTAAAATTAGTTTTGTTTTACAGTCGCATTCAGAGTTGTTAACCGGTCACTGATGGAGTATCTTAGGGCAGATTTCTACTACTTAATCTACACTAAGCAATACCACTTAACTACGCTAAATGCAGCAATTAAAAACCAGTCAATCATAACCACTGGTATAACAATAAATGCTTTACAGAATTTGGTCATGTTCCCACATATTTAATAGTTTACTTAACTTTTGCTTTAAAAAATCTTTTTGAAGTTCATCTCTAACCAGAATATTTGGAGGTCCTATTTTTTAGCGTTAATTTTATTTTAGCCTTTGAAAATATGACACTTATTTTGTATTTATTTTTTCAGCAATTTAAAATGTCAGTAACACGTATAAATCGTGGCATTATAGCGACTGCCCTCGTCGGTATATTGGTGTCGACGTATGCGCTGTACGTGGAGATGGCGGCGGAGGCGCGGCCCGGCTACCAGGCCCTCTGCGACCTTTCTGAACACGCCAGTTGTACACGAGTGCTTACATCAGAGTTAGTATTACCACAGATGATACAATACTATATTAGTACTTTGACACAAGCTAAATGTCGCTTGCTTAGTGTTCCCGTGAGTTGATTATTATATCCTAGTAGCATTCACCCGCGACTCCGTCCGCGTGCTATTAAAAAAACAGAAAAGTAAGTAGCCTATGTGTTCTTTTGGGCTATGTTCTACATCTATGCTAAATTTCATCAAGATCGGTTCAGCCGTTTAGGCAAACTCTAACAAACATTCATCCATCTATTTAAAGTTTCGTTTTTATAATACGAGCATTAGTAAGATTCTATCGATGGGGAGGCCTAAGTCCAGCAGTGGACAACCTCAGGTTGACAATGATTTTGAACCATTTCTACAATCTAGCCAAACTCTGTGCCAAATTTTATCCAGTTTCCTTAAGGCCTTCTGGAGTTACCTGGTACTCCAGAAGTCCGAGTACCACTAACAAGGGTAGCGCTATACGTGGTTCTAGGGGGGTAGGCCGACTAACATTTAGGTCGGCCACTGCCCCCCCCCCTGCCCTCTGGCGATGCCCATGGTCACGCTACCGACCCATCAATGAAATGAATTGTCTTGTTTTTAAAACATAAGAAAAAAATGTTCGTTAAAGTTTTTTCGCAGCGACTGTTAAGTAATCGGCGATAATTTTAAAATTGAAAATGTCAATGTATATTGAAGTGTCCAAACAGACATTTTGCGGTGTTGCGAAAATTTAAAAGAATACCGGTTTTGTCTGCATAAAACTTTGTAATTTGACATTCAGAGTTGTTACAAAGAACCATGGTTATGCAGAACATATGCAAAACGTATGCAATGATAAGAATTTATGTAAAAAACCTTACCTAGCTAAATTAATCTTTACACAAGTTTTAGCTGATTGTATAAAACAGAACGATATCAATAAGAATTTTTTTTTAAATATAAGGTGACAAACGAGCAAGCGGCCACCTGAATTCACCGAAATGGAAAGCGGCCGCTGCCCATAGACATCCGCAATTGCAGATGCGTTGCCTACCCTAAATTGATGGAGGAAGAGACGCACATAAAGGGGACATTTCCCCTTCTTATGCGTTTCCTCCACCGTATAATTCACTTTTCCTTCCCATCCTTTCCTCTTAAGAAAAGAGTGTAAAAGGAAAGGGACTAGAATTAGACCTCCCGCACCACACTCATCAGACGAACGGCGGAATTGCTACCACTTCACGCCTGTTTCTATTTTTATGGCTCATATCCTTAATATGATTTGTTTCAGATTTTCCAAAGGATTTGGTTTTGTAGCCGAAGATTCAACTTTCGAGGTTCCTAACTGTATATACGGGATTGTATTTTATTGCATTATCATATATTTATGTAAGTTTTTAATTTTACTTTTATATCAACTTATAATATGTTACGGGTTTGCACTTGATGGACACAAAAAATGCACATAGATTAATATCTCAGTTTATGTAAGGAGATATGTATACCGTAGCACAATACAGCTGCAATAGTAAATATAATTGGAATAAACAAAATACTTGGAAGTTTTTCACAGTTGTTTCAGACAGTTGCAAATTGTAATTCTATTCGATCATTTGTACGTGACCACCTTATCTAATAAAAAATATTGTAATATGTAAAACGAATGGACGCAACAAAAACTACTCGTAGCAGCTTGCGTGTAAATAATACGCAAACGACAATAACTGATCGTTTACAATAACAAAAAGCAAATTAATAGTTATAGCATTAAATATATAATGTTTTGTACAAGTCCACAATTCTATATTTTTCTTGGTGTGTTGTTGAATTAATGTAATTGCAATTGTCTTATTGGATTTATTTAGAACGATTTAAATAGATATAACAAAGCAAATCAAAACACAACATAGTTTCAGATAGAAATAATTGAAGATGACGTCATCGTCTCAATTCTGTTATTTGTCCCTAAGACGTGCATCTTGTCCACCTTTCCCTGATTTAGTGCTTCGAGGAGGCAATTTTCACGTCACCATAATTCATGTTTAGAATCCGTGACTCGTGCAGAAGTCGGTTGGTTGTGCAAACTGCTCACTACGATTATTTGCCCACTATGATTATTTGCTCACAGCGCTTATTTGGTAGCTCACGAGCTGTAAGTGTTATCGTAAAGTTCTTACAGCCGTCTATTCCTGGGAAGTGAGAAAGATTACGAATACGATTCGCACGTAAAGCATTTTATTGCTGTGTACTTAACCACTTGAATTTCGTAAACGTGTTAGATATTCAATGTTGCTTACGTGGTTCGTGTTTTTTAAATCCTAAACTTAGTCTGATATGCTGATGAATTTGTCCGATATATTATGTCTAAAAATAATCTAACTTCTTTTTGGTATCGCAATAGATTACATTTTTTATTTTGCCATTTAAAAATATGTTTATATGGAAACATCTAATATATGTTTTAACGTTATAATAAGTTTTAATTTAATTTAATTAAATTTTCTTTTTATTTTACAGCAACATTTGACAATGCAGCGGTAGTACGGCTTCAACAGTTCCTGTGTTTAGCCTCAGTGGTGTCCTGCGTTTATCTCGGTTACCTTTTACTCTTCGTGTTATTTGATTTTTGTATAGTTTGCGTTTCAACATATATAGTTAACGGTATGCTTTTGGTCTTTGTAAACAAGAAGAAAGATTTCCTGGCTACCAAAAATAAGTAAACAAGTTATAAAGTTTTACATAAAACAAAATTGCAAGCTTAATTGGTAATTTTAGTGCATACTAGTGCCATCTTGTGTTAAGAAATGTAAATAATATTGTAGCGCCATCTATTGCAGAGTAGAATAAAATGATGTTGTTCATAGATGGCAGGCTTTTGTATTATATTCTCGCCGGTTTTGTTGTTGACAAGTTTGACAAGTTATTTATTTTAATCCCTTGTATTTCAACTTAATATAAAAAATCAGTTAAATCTCCTGTATGGAATATTAAATTACCTCCAAAGATTAGAATAGTAATTGTGGCATTTACGTTAAACACATAGCAGTTTAAAATAAAATAAAACAAAAAAAGCAATTTTATTTATATTCTTAGCTTTAATTTGTTTTTATTTTCATAAATTCTTTTTTTTTATAAATCATTAGATTTTTCGTTATTATTCGTAAGTAATCCAAGCATTCCCTCGTAAAGTTTCATTGCGTATCAGTGCGCAGGCGCGGACGTGATCGCCATATCGGCGACGCGTTTACGCCGACGCAAAACGTCCTGCCGATCCTTGTATGATTAGAGCTGCCATTTTGATCGCGGCCTAACTTTGTAACTGTTCTTGTTACTACTATGTTATTCTTTTAGAAGGTTACAAACATACTTAACTAAGACACAATAAATTACAAAGATTCTCTTATACAGTAGAACCTCGATAACTCAAACCTCCGTAACTTAAAAGCCTCTATAACTGATAATATTTTGTGTTTCCCTTGGACTTTAACTTATCGAGGCTGTACTGCATTGTAAAACCTCTCAATTGTTTTCTGGACAAATGTCATAAAAACTGTTTACTAGGGAACTGGACAAATGGGGTGCACACCTGTGTAATCAACGACGCCCATGGACATTCATATCCGAAGAACTATAGATGCGTTGCTAGCCTTTACGAAAATGGTACGCTCGGTTTTTGAAGGACCATAAGTAGTACTGGTTTCTAAATACAAGCATATACCATTCCACAACTGCTGTAAGAAGCAGAAAAATAATGTTAGTAGCATAGAACTGACATTTCCATTCCCATTAGAGGAGATATATCTGATTCTTATCTCTTGGACTTGCTTATTCGTTCATTTACTATCCAAGGAAAATCTAAGTACCTTAGTACGGCATGCAGGTCAACATTCCACACGGCGCCAGATTTTAATACAAAAAATCTAACGAGTGGTTACTATCGTGACATAAATCATTTTCCTTGTAAAATTGTAGTCATCGCAATAATGTATGACTGAACGCGTTTGCTTTGTTGTAGTCATCGTACTTCGTTAACGACGTTTTAGTAAAATTTATCTTTTTTTTTGTATGTGTAGAGTAATATGGTAGCTTGTTACCATAACACGCCTGTAAACGAACGATTAAAGTATTCACTTTATAGTAAGTTAAGTGAAAAAACTACAAAAAGCAGTCTTTATATGAAAAGGTTAAAAAAATATATCCGTGAACATTTGGATCTAAGTTACATTCTTATAAAGAAAATGGTAACTTGTCAACCTTTGTAAGCATTCTTAAGCACATACTCATCATAGCCATTATTGAAGGAAAATGATGCATGACATAGAGTGCCAAGGTAAAATGTATACACATTGTCATTATTTATTGCTGTTAATATTTTTTTTTAAGCACACCAAAGTGATACTTTGTTACAATCCTGGGTAGGGGCTTTGACTTTATACCATCTTTAATTTCCAATGGATTCGTGGGAGATGCCGTGTTAACCGTCGCATTTAAAGAAAAAATAGAAACTTAACTTTTCGACGTTGTACAATGGTCTAACTGGAAATAATTAAAAAAAATACGTACGTGCAAAAAGGTCTTTGCCCAGATGAGGTTTACATTGGGTTTAATGATGACAATTTTAAATGAGAAGAAAAGATTAACGATCAAGTTTTTGATCACCTTGAGAGATTGCCGCCTTGGCCTTGCTTCTCTCCGCATTCTTTAACGTTTTGCAAAGAACTGTTTATGGTATAAAACTCCGTGTTTCACTTCATAAATGACTATAATTTGAATAATAGACGATTAAATACAATAAACATTTCTTTTACCAACTCAACTAAACTGCAACAATAATATCAACCACCTACTGTATCGGAATTTCCAATAGCAGTATCCATTTACATATTTTCGATTTATTATTGCACTTTTTATTATAACTTTATTATTGTTGGTATTTCGTTTAATACTTCTATACTAATGTTATAAAGAGGAAACGTATTTTTGTATGTATTGAAATAACTCAAAAATTACTAAGCCTATTTTAAAAATTCGCTTACCATTAGAAAGGTATTTTATCTGTGAGTAACATAGGCTATATTTTTAATTTGACGTGGATGAAGTCGAGAGCATCAGTTTGTTTTTAATATATCAAAATGAGTCTACATTAAAATTATTATTTAACAGTTTATAAGTTACGGAATGTAAACAAATGCTCTACACGTTCTATTTAAATCCGTTTTTGCGTATAAATATGTCACGGACCATAATTTGTTAAGTTCGTGTAACCTTATCCGAGATATGATTCACCATGTTGATATTTTTACGGCACGGTTAGGTGCTCGTTCTTCCAAATTTGCACACAAAGCTTTGCCTACGCGCTTTGTAATAACAAGCCGGTATACGTTATAACATAATTAACCACTGCCAGTTTAGCCTACGCCGCTGAGCCTTATTTAGACGAACACCTTGGAGTTCGAATGCCTTCGTCCTTTAAATAAGTTTTTAGAGTAACTTTTAATCCGACTTGTTGGTAAACATGACAGATATTTTTTGCTGTATTTTTTTTTAAATTGTGTTTTCTAATTATTTATTAAAATTACACGATTTAATTGGGAAGCAAAAGGTTAGCGTGGTATGGACATGTTATGCGACGAAATGATGGGGACATAAACCAGAAAGTGTTAAGATTGAATGTAAATGGCTACAAAGAAAGAGGAAGACCGAAGAAAATATGGATGGATTGTGTGAAAGAGGATATGCTTAAGAAAGGAGTGGCTGATAGAGATGTATGGAAGAGCAGCACATACTGTGCCGACCCTCCATAAGGGATAAGAGCAAGTGGATGACATGATTTTGTTTAATGTAAAATCAGAGATTCTTAATTTAATATCCTAATTTGATTGTCTTATCGCAAGTTAATATTTACGGCGTTTGCGTTTGTAAAAAAAGTGCCACCAATTTGTTACTAAAATGGTTTAGTAAAAGATAAAGTAATTTAATGATTTTAATTAATAACACCGAAATGAGTAAAATCTGCTACCTATTATAAAGTTATCTTTATTAAGTTGTAAATTTAATTTTACATGTTTTATTATCAGAATGCAAAAAAGGCAAAACAAGCATGTATTTGGTAAAGGTTTGAAGATTTATGGAATTTAATTACAAAAAGATCTAATTATCATGATTCCTTTATAGATAAGGAGTTAAAAATACTGGAATTAAAGGACGTATTTTAATTTCTTTGAATAGAAAATGATAAAATAGAAAGCATGGATGGATTGTGTGAAATAGGATATACTTAAGAAAGGAGTGAATTAAGATATGACTGCTGATAGAGATGTATGGAAGAGCAGCACATACTGCCGACCCTACGTAAGGGACAAGGGCAAGTGGATGATGATGATGATGATGATGATGATGATGATGATGATGATGAATAGAAAAGGATAAAAAATATTAATTTAAGTTTTAAGTCATGTTTATTTTAATTACGTACATTCTAATTTATAACATTACTTAATACATATAAACATGCGATTAACATTAGAATAATAAAAAAAAATATTAAAAAGTCCTATTACCAACGAATACGAAAGCTATAAAATTACCATTAATTTCGCAGATAAAATACCAATTTTCAAGCAACATGTATTGTGACCGGTTTTTAAAACATCGAAATTATTGACCTCTCATTTTAGGAACCTGTTACAAAACAGAATTCAGATTCAGGTGTTTTTAAATTGTTAATATTCATCTTTTATTACAATTTTTTCCTTTATTTATCCTATTCCAAGGTAAGTATTTTTTGAATGTCAAATAAAATAAGATATAAATTACATTTAAAGTGTTTTTAATTTCCGTTTCAATAAACGATACATGTGACTTTTTCCTTATAACTTATTGTCGTAATTAGATTCGTTAATTAGTTCCCTGATTCAGGATATTCTTACTGCCTAGTTAAAATGATTAGATAATTTCACTAAAAAAACCACTATTCCTATTCGCACCTTATAAGAAAGTTTTTCGGTTCTATGAATACTGTTTTTTAAATAAATTAAATAAGCAACCAGTTTTTCTGCTGCGATGGACAGGAAAATAGCAATTACGCCCCATTATTACACGTTGTAACACTCATTATGTCTATTACACTGCATAATGATTTCGCTGCAATTGTTACAACCAAAACATTTAGACTCGCCTAACGAGGTACGTTAACAAGGAAAATTTGATGTGGTATAACCAGGTAACTTTTTTATTGAATCAACTAATCACTTAAACTGATTACTAATTCAACAAATTGAGGAGAATATCCTTAAAATAGACTTCAAACCTTGAAAATATGCCTCAGGTATCTTTTCGCGTATTTTTGTAATACTAGCGGTCACTTTTTTGATCGAAATTAACCGGCAATCTTTAATAACTATTTTTTTTACTTTAAACTACTTCTTCGCAATAACAGTATCAAATTTTACGTTACAAATTTCGCTTCCTGTATTACCTTTAAATTTAGGCCAATTATTATATTGATATGTTTTTCAAAAATAAGAACTGTTGTGACTCAAAATTACACATTTAAAAAAAAAATTGTATTCGAAGAAAAAACTTTGTTTCGCGGTCATTTCCGTGCGTACTTATAAATACAACATAATATTCAATTCTAGAAACGTATAATATAAAAAAATTGGTAAGGAATTAATGTAATTCCTTCCGAGATACATGCTTATACATATGTGCATAGTAATGGAAGCGAATGAACGCAAACACGGCAGTGAGACCTTCGTATGAAGAATGCGAGATTTCTTTGCGCCAACCACGGCCCATCTAGATACGAGTATGTTTGCATGTCCATTTACAGCATTTAAAGGGTTAACATTGTGATACAACTGGTGGTATGCACATTTAATACAAAGCAAGAATAAGGCCTTAATAATTTTGTAAAGTATTTAAGGTTTCTGGATAAAATAATAAACCAGAGCATCATTTATTTGTCTAGCATATTCAAAGACTTATCC